TCTGTATAATGTACAAAGTATAACGTTTATACTTTAGAAAATTACAGAAGAGTGCAAGCAAATACGAAGATTGCATGAAAAAGCAGTTGTTACCTTGTCTGCAATCGATTAAACTAAATAAAAGTTTGATATGTTCTTTTCAATGAAGTTTATAACCCACGTAAATTTGAACGTTTGTGCTACGAATCAACCAATATATTTTTATATTTTGAATGAAACGTCTAGTTTGCTTCGTCAGTACATGGTGAAAAATCTTATCATTGCAAGAAAAGCTGGTAAATACAATAATAATGTATTTTTACGAATGCACACATAACGTTTCCCGGCCATACAAACAACTGAGTATAGAAAATTCAACCATTTTTGAAGGAGAAAGGGAATATGAAAAGTACTAATCCAATTTTCCTTTAACCTCTACCACCATCATTTACATATAGGGACGGTTGTGTATGGTGAGATATTAGAGAACATTTCCAGTTTAGAACATTGAATTCACCGAAACGACGCAGTTGCTGAACAGTGTAAATCATTAAAACAAAGGCTAGCCAACCTAATCGACAACGTATTGACGTGATAACAATAACAATTAGATTTACCATCATAACAGTTTAAATGTTTGTTTCCTATTTTTGTTGTTATTATTTATTTTGCAGAGCTGATTCACCATTATAGTATAACTAAAACAGCGACTACTCGTTAATAAAAAGGGCAGTATATCGAATGAAATGACATCTTGCATGCATGTGGTGTCTGTCTGAAAGAACTTTAAATGTGAAGACACTAATCAAACTTCACGACTCTGATATACGGGTGTTTGAGACCACAATTGCCAACGTTTGCTGATAGTGACACCCTTTGCAGACCGCGTACCATTTGCAACAAATAGTCTTACGACTAATTAGCGCTCAGTTGCAATACCGCATATACAAATAGATACAATACAAACCGATATACCTGAACACTTCTGAGGTTCTAATATTGATTGCAGGATAAATCTAACTTTACTACTTTAAAAACGTGTTTTGCACGCATATGACCTCTAAACGTAGATACTAACGTACAATATTAAACCTTCCGCAAACGGTTATTTTGAGCCGCGCCTTCCCAATAACACTTTGATTGTCTTGTTTAAATACATTGTGTGCTGTTGAGTACTTTCGGGTAGTGAGGCCGACGGGGCTGTTATCCCGGGCACCACAGATCATGGTGGCGCCAAAATAATTGGCACAAATTAAAATTTGCAGGCAAATTGTTGACGGAACCATCATCGTCCCCCTGAGTTTCAGTTACCCTTAGCACACCACTGAGTACGTAAGATGAATGTGTGCATGCACTAAATAATTAAGACCAAGGAATAAATAACCCGATTTGATCGATCACATCTATTTCATTCAGTGAGCATGTAAAGAAGCGGAATGGAGGCATAGAAGCGATTATATATTTGACCATTTTCGGTTACGCTTTTCTACATCCTACGTATGGGATGAACCTTTGTCATTATTGGTAATCTTTCACAAGGATCAAATTGCCACACGAGCTCCAGTGACTCACCTTTCTAGAGGATTCTAATGTTTCCTTGATTGGATTTTAGAATTAAGTTTTTCACTATAGCTGATATTGTGCAAGCTTCTAGGTTTGACTAAAACTTTAAGAGAAACAATATCTGGAACTAAGAAAATTCCAAAAGAAATGATTTCAAAATTGTAAAAACAAAGTCTTTTGATATAAGTTTGAAAACTCTTTATTCCATGTAAAAGCCTCCGATTTTTAATTACAACTCAATAGTCATAAACAAATTCATATAAAAGAGAGAACATCAAATAATTTTGAAAAAATCAACACATAATTTATTGTTGTAGAATAAAACGTCAAAATGAAACAAAATATATAATACTGTATTGGGAAGTATATCTCAAATAAACAGAGTTTCTGACGATAGTTAAAGTTCTGAAAAAGAAATATAATGCTTTTCAAAAATTAACCAAACGCTGAAGGTGTAGATGGGCATTGGATGACATATGTCATAGCGAATGCCAATAATCTTTTGTTGAATGACATCAATATAATCCAAAAATAAAACTCTGAGTTTGACAATAAATTAGTACATCTATTTCCAAAATATTGTTTTCGAGATCTTTGTATTCTGAGAAAAAAAATGCATGAATTATATAATTTGAATAAATTCTAGCCCAAATGGAATACTGAACAAAACAATTACACTGATTCTTCTTCTACGATCTTGCAATACGAATAAATAATTTCTAAATAAACAAAATTATAAGTGGACTACTAAACCTTAGGTCATAATTATGATTTTCTAAAAAAAATACTTGTACTTAATAGAAACTCTTAATTTGAAAGATTTTAAATGTTTGCAAAATAACATCTTAGTTATAATTAGAAGGTATATTACTGAAATTATAATATAAAATATTTTAAACAACATGTAGACCTTACAGGTAATGGAAATATACAATGTTCTTTACTCACTTGGAGATAAAATATATTGTTTTCAAAACTACCCTCAATTATTCAGATCAGGTAGAAAATAAACTTGATTTTTGACAAGGTCAAGTCCGTAAAACAATTGTCCGTATTATATAATGAATATAAAACTAACAAATAATGCAAATTAAAATATATAACATTATATACAAACTGCATGCATTTAATAAGTAATCAAGTACAGAGCAAATGCATCCAATCTTTTATGAGATTAATTATGCAACAAATACTTACATTTATATTGCTCTGAAGTTTGGATGTTGTTTTATTAGGGGGTTGAGTGGTTGGTTGGTTGAGATAACCTGCACTCGAGCAAGTACGAGCAACTCCCAGTTTTATGTACAGTTACGAAACATCATGCGTCGAATCAACTAGAACTGTACTGATCATGCAATAAGTAAGTCTTACACAATCAAACGCTTTTTCTGATCTTCCAAAATCAGACGAATATCGTTTGATAAATCTAATACCTAATTTAGTTTCTTTGAAAATTGCACATCGTAGCATCAACACAGTTTATTTGTTTATGTTCTGAAAACATGAAAATGCAAAAGATCATTAAGAGTTTCACTCGTCGTTAAATTCATACTTATTTTTTTTGAACATTGTATATGACCTATATTTTTGTCTTAGAGAAATGCGTCCTAAAGACTTGTAGATAAATAGACACAACAAAATCAAGCAAAAAAAAAAAACGCATATAATAAGAAGGCAATCGTTGTCCTATGTACAAAGTCATTGACAAAACACCTCGTTGCGTTCATTGTATTTTCATGTGAGCTGTTGTACTTGAATACATTTTGATAAAAAATTCCTATACTTACAACAGTCTGCTTAGTATATATCCACTATACCGTGTCCTGGTTATTATTATTATTAATATTATTATTATTATTATTATTATTATTATCATTATTATTATTATTATTATTATTATTATTATTATTATTATTATTATTATTATTATTTTCAGTTTGATGATATTGCATAAAAATTTGTTGGTTTGTTTCTTTTATAATATAAACTTTGTACGTTTGCGGCAATTTTGATGGAAAGTAGGTACACTGCCATTTCGATAGAAGCATTGCAAGTCTGATGTCACTTCAATGGAAACGTATGTTTGTTACCACTTGGATCACAATCTATAAATGAATGTTATAATTATAATTTGCTACCACCGGACGGGTTGATGAAGAGGTTCTGATACGACCCTGTATGTTTATTACTTGTGTGTAAAATTTGAATTCTTTTTGTTTCATTTTTGTATCGTGTTTTATTGTGATGATGATAGTTGTTCACAGGAACTGATATTTTCGTAAGAATTGTTTAGTAAGCCGGTTTTTGTAAATAAACTACGTAAACACTGGACTGCAGCCTAGGTCGTTTCTTAGTATATGTACTTATATCGTGTACTACACATTGCAGCATGTTATGACACGTTAGTTTAACTTGACTCAGGTCCATGTGACATAATGTCCATATTATATATCTCTGCTACGTCGTAGTCTTAATAATATCCCTCAGCTGTGTTGTAGTGAAATGTATATTGTGTTGGAGTGTTGTTATTGTTGGGGTTGGTTTAACGCCATTTTTCATCACACGATAGCTCTACATGACGGCCAGTATTAATAGTGGAGGAGAATCCAGGAAAACCTCGGAAAGAACCACCGACCCACGAGAAGCTACTGACAAGACTTCCTCACATACCCACATTGGTATAACCCGAGACTCTAACCCACGGAGAAAGAGGTGAGGTCGCAATGATTATTAATGGAGAACGCTTTAAATCACTTTGCTACTTTTGGCTACCTCTGCTGGAGTGAGTCGTATAATATGCCTAGAAGAAGAAAGGTATATTTTTATTGTACCGGATAGTCTTAAATCTTCATTACATCTAACAAAACTATAGATGTATCTTGACAGCTATAGGAGTTTATTTACCTTTCGAATAATAATTTATTCCCTGGAAAACTATAAAAGTGGTTTAGGCAAACTCATTCAGTGAAATTCATTATAAATTGGAATAGTACAGCACAAATTGTGGATCAACTTGTAATTATGAACATTTGTGAAAAGACTTCATCTGACGTCATTATCTTCCATCTTGGAAATAAACTTGAGATTCAATCAAAACAAAAAACATTGTATTAATAGTACTTGTATATATTCACAATTCTAGGATAAATGTTTTGGATTTTTAGTCACAAACCGTAAGTCCTATTTTATATTTTTACATTTTCACCGCGTTTTCTAGGGAAATAAAATTATCTTTGTTAAGACGTACAAAGCGTGTTGTCTCCATTTTTTTTTGAACGAATCAAAACGTAGCAGTTCAAAGATCAGAATATACCAATCAAAATTAGAATGACATTTTCAATATTTCCTGACCAAACGATATATACGTCTCTAAAGTAGGGAGATGTATCAAATGTTTGACAAACATTTCAACCAATTTCTTTTTTTTCTTTATTGCTCAGTTTTTTACCCTAAAAATGGACCGCTCCAGTGGCCTAATGGTTAGAGCATTCAATTCGGATGCGGAGGACTTGGGTTCGAACCCCGGTTGCGTCATACCAAGGAGTTGAAAAATGGTTCTAACAGCTGCCTCGTTTGGCACTTAATATTAGGAGGTAGCGTTAGGACTGGCCGGCCTGGAGTCAGGAGAATGTGACTTTGTGGGACATCATGGTACATGTCTGCGGCATGAAACCCCAGTGCATAACTAAAAACTGTCACACTGCAGACATTATAGCGATATGACAAAGAAATTGTTAAAGCTATGTTAAAATTCTAAATCTCACACACACACTCACATACACACACAGACACACCAACAACTCTGAACCAGAATGAATCAAAACTATGTGCTCATTAAAATAAATTAATGTTTAATTTAGACTTACTTTAGCTATACTTTAGCATTGATCATTTTAGGGGTTTTCTTGGATGACTAACAAGCAACTGAGAACAACTCTACAATGTGTTGTTGTGAAGACAACATCGGATGGTGAACGACCAATGTTAGAAGATTGCTTCGACGGCCCGTTCGAAACATGGGAACACAATAAGGTAAATATGGTCCCGAGTATGTGGTACTGTCATAACAACACTGCTGAGCAATTACGTTATTTTGAAATAATATTGTGGTTTTAATTGCTGACGCAAGTTACATATGTGGAAACGTTGAGTGGACAGTAGTTGCGTTTATGATTTACATCAAAACACTTTACAGTGCTTATTTTGTCCGTCTGTAAAATATATAAATTAACTCTCGATAAGCTGTGATTTCTCATCGAATAACGAAACATTTGTATGACGTCTTGTTCCCATTTTGTATAATCTCTCTTTCTAGAGTGGATACATCAAGCACCAGAAAACCGGGCTATGTCTCGACATCGACATTTCGGGACCTATTATGAGGAACTGTACTCAAGACGCACTCTCGCAATTGTGGGAATTTACCAACTATCTCAACTGGCCATAGACAGTCACAATAATCATAATGTTCATTTCGTATCAATTTACATTTGTGGATATTTTATTTCATTATTGCTTAATTTCTTTACTCATTGTGAATCTGTACAGTCATTTTCTCTATATCCAATACATAAATCTCCATATGAAGAAACATGATTTACTTCTCCCCCACCTGTGGCCTAGTGGTTAGAGTGTCTGTATCGGATGCGGAGGTCGCGGGTTTTAATCCCAGCCAAGTCATACCAAATACTTTGAAAAATCGAACTAACGGTAGTAAGAGCTTAGTATGGTCAACCTGGTATTGGAATAATGTAACTGGGTGGGACATCATGCTACATGTCTGCGGCATGATGCCCTAGTGCTAGACATCAGTATAAACTGTCACACTCCAAACATCGTAGCGATATGTCTGAACAATTGTTAAAGCTACGTTAAAAATCTACATCACACACACGCACACACACAAAGAAACACACATACAAACATACTTCTTCCCCTACCCAACCCAGCCAACGTGTTATGCAATAGGTAATAAAGGCTATATATTAAATACCGAATGATCAATGAAACAGGATGAAACCAGGTGGGATTGAATCTGTGAAAACGATTAACATAATTACGTGAGAAAAAAGTTTATTTATAAGAAAATGCAGCGATGAATTAAATTCATACAGCTTATATAAAAGACTCCAACAAATGCTATAACAAACAACCTTGTCATTTAAAGGTGAGAAACAAAACATTTAATGGCAACAAAGTGTCACATTTTATCTTGTATTTAAATGAATCTGATCAGTGAACATGATTTATAAAGTTATAAACAGTGTATGGAATTTAGGAACACATTAACAAGGTATGGTTTATCAAGAATTACAAAATATATACTTCTGATATTCATACATATCGTGACATTAAATTTTCTGTTCAAAACAAAATCTAAGATGGTATATAATCTCCTGGCATCCAGTCTGTGAATACTGGGCATTTCTAACTGATCTTCTCCCGTCAGATTAGTAAATGAAGGACCTATCGTGCTTACCTTCCTCCAGCCTATTGACGGATATCTCCAGAACCCCTTAATTTGCAGACCCATTCGTCCGGAGCTATTGAATCCCCACCGTGAGTAAACTAATACCTTCCTCAGTATTAATGATAAATCAACCCAACAAATTTGTGTTGATACTTTTGGACTATATGTGAGATTGATGTCACATTTTCATTCAAATGTGCAATTTTGCTGCATGCATATCTATTCGGAACAAACCCGAACACTTTAGACACATAACGGCAACGGATAACAGTCATATCAAGCGCGAAACTCACAACGGCCACAATTTCAAGTTGATTTACAAGGAAGGTGATTTACAAGGCACCAAACATATGATATACTTCGGAAATATAATGTACGTCACCTAGAAAAACTCTAAAGCTGACGGTACGTTCACAGCCACGAGAAAGATCGGTAAGTGCATATACACTGGTGTGTGCAGCCAGTTCTAGATGCAAATAATTTGTTTTTAATGAATAGGCGATATCAGCCCCTCACCCCAAAATCAAGATCATCGTGGGTGAAGGGCTGATTTAACGGCCTATATTAACGTCACTAACCGTAGCAGTATTTGAGTTATGCAAAACCGCAGTTTGGCTCCCCGTGACTGGCAACATTATAATGACAGAATCGTGTAATAAATGAGGCACGTTCAAATTACACGTGTGTAACATTTGAATTATTTTCTTTTTCATTTCTATTCTTTTATTTTATTTATATGTCATTAAATATAATTTTTATTATGATTATGCTTATGTTCGCAGAGTCTAAGTTTTGTTAGAAGCATAGCATTTTGGTTTCTTTTAAAAAAATGTATTTGTGACTCGCGTAAGCACGATTTTTGCAAGATGGTTTTGTCCTATTAAGGAACGATTTGGAAGTGGCAGTGTAAATGATTGATTGTGACAGAGTTTATTTCTACTTATACTTTCTACGCATTGTAATGTTATCAAAATCGCTATGTGTCCTGCGTGAGTGTACGTCAAATGACGTTCTCATTTCAGTTTAAATACGCGGTTACCTGTAAGAAATTGTCATAGTCGAGAGTCATATTTAACATCTTAACGAGTTACAATATAACATCTTATATAGTTTCTAATTCCTTAACAAGTAGGCATTCCTGTGCTGGAAAGAGTTGTTCGTTCTCACGTATGAAGAATAACATGTGTTTTGCTATTGATGATAGCTACCTTTTAATGACTTTGGATCAAGACATTTGCTGAAACTGTTTGTAAATTGGAACAGGACAATACAAATATTAATTCCCAGTGAAAATTCTGGATACTTGTGTTAATTTTTCTCTCATGTCATCATCCGCTATCTTGGAACAGAACTGAGATTCAGACTACGTCAATTTAGAACTGTTTAGTCACAAGACTTGTGATTTCACAATTTTAGGAGACACTTTTAGATCTTCTAAGCAAATTTTAGTTTTATTTCATATTATACCTTTCCACTGTGTTTTCTAGGCAACTAAATTATTTTTGTTAAAATTTACAAAGCTTGTTGTAGTCACTAATTTCTATATATATATATATATATATATATATATATATATATATGTTTCATACAAACAATTATATATATATATATATATATATATATATATATATATATATATATATATCTATATATATATATATATATATACAGAGAGAGAGAGAGAAAGAGAGAGAGAGAGAGAGAGAGTCGTTCCAGATACCTATGAAGGAAATCAAGGCATATATGACTTTTTTATTATCAAAAGGAATTATAAATATATATCAGACAGACCAGATAGTGCTATTCCTGGATTCTTTAGTAGAATCTTGATAATAGTGGGCAGAAATAATAGTTTAATACAAACAATAATATCGTAGAAGTTAGAGAAATTAAATTCGTACTCTACGGAGTTTTAAACCCAGGGCGTTTGTTCACATAGTTTTTTATAAGACCATGAGAAAAACTTTCATACCTGTTTTGTCTTGTGCTTTGTGGCTATAGAGCATTTAAACAGTTGGGACAATATAATGGCCAAACAGATGAAGTATAATTAGCATGTGTTGTGGTAACTAAGCTTCATAAAGTAAGGATTCTATTTTATAAATGTTGTAGTTTCCAAAACATCCATGATTATTTATATAAATTTAATTTTATTGACACTAACATAAAGATGGATGTGAAGGAATTACGTGGCCAGGTGCAACACCACTTGAATAATTTATACTGTAGTTTCTTACTGAGCTTTCAGATTTTCTTTTGGCTAATGAAGTAATCTCATTGATCAGTGAATATTTGTTTACAACAGATGGTATTGGTCTTACAAGGTGACGTTTTTATAAAATTGATATACGATTAAAATACTAATATTGCATTGTTAGATATTGTTTCACACAAGGGTTATTGAAAAAATGAAATAATGATAATTTTCAGTGTGTTATATTTGTATAATATTAGGGGTTCTAATACTATTCAGTTGGCAAATGTATTGTTCCTAAATACATGTAGCTTAAGACTGTAGATTGAACAGTTGTAGGAACGAATTATCACGCACTTTAAATGCTCATATAAAACTCAAATATCACTAATCAAATGGAAGTTTCTCATTTTGTTATTTTTGTTTTTCTTCTTTTCATTGGTTCATTTTCATAAGTCCATTTCCAGGAAAATGAAAATAGATTTTGCTGACTTATTTTGCGAGTCTACATACTTACTTTTCTGCACACTTTGAAACGTTCATTCTGACTATAGTTCCCTGCAGAATTTACAAGTACTTAAATAAAAGTAATTATTATTATTATTGGCATGTCAATAACTTTACAACATTGTCAAAATCATACCCTGGGAGAGCTTAGATTACTTGTATGATTTATATCTGCGTCACCACCGATTTAATTTAAAGACAACACAATAGACATCATTTACTTGCAGGTACAGGAATACACACTCAAAAGAACACAGTTACTTAGAGCTAATTCTAGGTAGGTCAGTCCCTTTCACAAGATAATGACATTGATAAGTATTAGCTGTTAATTAGTCACACTAATTTCATACCTGTTTATTTAAA